GACTTGGAAGTTTCTGGCGAACTACAAGCGGCAATTGATAGTGTAGAGTCCTGGTCCGACAGATGGGATTTGCCTCTTTCTTATGAAAAGACTTTATTTTCCTGTATTGGTAAAATTCCTAATGCAAAATACCGATTAGGGACCACAGAGCTCAAATGTGTTTCCAATGTTTGTGATCTCGGCTTCAAATTCGAGAGTAAGCTCGGATTTGATAAGCACTATAGAGATATCGTATTAAAGCCATGTACAGAGTTCATAACGTTTTCAGAGCTCTCCACTCAAAGGACTCTCAGATTCTCATGAGAGCTTATAAGACTTATGTTAGGCCAATCCTTGAATCTGGTACTACAGTTTTTAGTCCATACAAGAAAAAGGATATACGCCTACTGGAAAGTGTCCAGAACAGCTTTACGCGCAAACTTGCTATGCGCTGTTCTGGGCTGACTTATGAATACATTCCTCATAGTTCTGAACGACGCCGCATCTTTTCACTTTCTAGTCTGTTGATGAGAAAAAGCTCAGAGATCTCCTGATGGCGTTTAAATTCCTAACTGGTGCGGTTGCAGTAGACTCGGTCAATTTTTTTGAACTAGTCACTTCCAAGTCAAGAGGTCCTTCGGTTAAAATCGAAATCCCACTGGCGCGAACACGGGTTCGCTCCACATATTTCTCCTCACGAGTTATACCTCTTTTGTACAAAATGTTACCTGATAACATTATGCGCCTTTCCCTGAACTCTTTCAAAGGCCTGGCCATCAAGGCTCTACATGCGGATGGAACTTGAATGCTTCCTGGTTGAGGTTCCGTTATTATTTCTACATTGCCTCCTCTCTAGTGCCATTTATTCGCAGTCCTGTTGGGGTATAGTTTTGTTATACTCTTGAATTTGATATGTTCTGTTTGTCACTGTCATTTCATTTGTATCGCAGGCATTTGTCCACGTAGATAATCTGTTTGTTTATCTGCGTACAAATAAATAAATAAATAAATAAATATAGGCTTTTGAAAACAGTTCACGCAGAAATGGTTTAGCATGATCCTTTGACCTCCGAGAATAGCACAAGAGATGCTGTCAGGTCGTAAAACGGCCTTGATAGGGCGTAATAAGGGCCCAAGGCCGGCTTTGACGACGTACACACCCAAGGCAGACGGGTTATTAGGCGTTGTGAAAGCTGTAGAGGTTGCACCACTGGCTGCTTTCATAGTCCGCTGGCCGGGAGCGGCGCTTGCCCTTTGTTTACACCTGCATCTTGTCCGATACCGCTGGTCGAGTAGTCCTCCGGCCGGCGCGCGCGCTCTCGGGCCCGCCATCGAACTGTAGAAGCAGCCACTGGCACCACGACCCACACCTTGCACGCACGCAGCGTATTACAGCCATTCGTAAGCAATGGCACATACATCTGGACAACTCGTCCAAATACCTATTCCATGAAACTTCTGGTGTTACATTCTCGCCCAACTTCTCATTTTACTGTTCTTTTGAAGCCTTATATCTAATGAAATACGCTCATTTTCGCGTTTTCTTCTCACTTCTGCATTATTGTGGACTACCACTTCCATTATTCGTCTAGAAATTATATTGTGCAAAAAGCTGCGGTGCAGGAAGGATTATAAATTCGATTCCCCATTGATTCATTTCTCTTCAAACGTATAAACTGTAATCTGTTAGATACTGGTCCTGCTTGAATTCAGTACAGGCAGCATTCTAGGCCTAATGTTTAGGAATTGCTTTGCTCCTGTACATTTTCATCCCAAATCTTTTTCAACACGTCACTTCACACCCTGCACGTGCGTCAACCATCAGTAATTTGTCAAGTTCAGGCGTCTATAATTAGGGCACAAGTTTGAAGTAGGGTAGATAAGTAACAGCTGGCCTTACTTATCCAATCTGCTTTGAGCCTGTGCCCCAATGTTTTTCCCTGTGTGTTTAAATCATCACGAAACTTGCCCCGCTTTTTGCCGTGTCCATCCACAATTGGGTGACCTATCAACTATGTGAGAGGCCTGGGACATACCGGAAATTCCCTAAATAACCAATTTAATGTTAATGATCTGGAGCGATTGAAACATTCCGTGACACTGCTCCCCATCGTACCAAAGGACTACTATCCGGAAGGAGCTTAAAGGTCCTGCCACGATTTACAGTTTTGTGACGTGTTGGTCACGTGAAATTGCATGGTATGCTCCAGACGTGGTCTCGTTTGTATGGTGTAGTTATCCTGGATGCAATGTTGCCATCACTTCTTCTCCTTATGTATTGCAAATGTGTCGGCAGCTGGTGCTGACTAATGTGCAGTTGTGAATGTTGTTGGCCTGCCAACTAGTTGGCGATTATGTAAGGCTTACTGCTTACTGTTGCTTTGAGATAAGTTTGTTGCACATTGCTCTTTGCCGGGTTTTGTTTTGTTATGTCTGGCTGTGTGTGCCGTCATCATATCTTAGGTTCGTTCCTTTCCAAACGGTCACATATTTTAGAATCATATTTCTTTTCCTCGTCATCACCTATTTTTTCCTTGTTGAAAAGGGGTTTCTGTTTCCTGACGTGGTGACTTTGAAATGAAGCTCTATGGACAAGTACACCCACATCGAGGATTATCTTTCCCCTGTTCCGACCGCTGATATGCCATAACGCCATAGATGTTTGTGCAGTTTATTCTTAAAGCTGTCCTCTTTCTCACTGTGACTGCTGCCAAATCTTATAGTGCCGCAGTTACCATTTGCTTTTCGCTTTTGCGCCGTCACAATTTCCATATTTCGGGTTCATGTTCAGTCAGCTGCATCACGATAGTTTTGTTCCAAGAGGGTTAACATCGATATCACAAGAGTAGCCGAGGACGCAAAAACGTGGATTAATCGAGATCTATACATCCAAAAATAAAGACCTTCCAAAAGAACTATGACATCCCAACAGCGACGCTGAGTTCAATCGAAAGGATTTCGGATTAGTTTCAAGTTCACCTGTTTTCAAATCGCTAGAATCAGTTGTTGAGCACTATTTACTCACCGTCACTCACCTTTTGCTAGTTACTTCTGGATCTCGCTTAGGTTGGAGATTTGTCTCAGAGTTGAGCAAATTTATTAGTAGATTTTCATATTTGCTTGACTTGGAAATGTTTGTTGCCCTTCCTTAATGCTTCCCACATCGCTAAGTGCTGCAAACTGGCTTGAAGCCTGGATGGAGGTAAAATTCCAGCCGAACTTTGTAGACCTGTAGGCTAGACCAGACTTTGTCTCTTTCAAAAAGCATCGAAATAGCTACGATTCAGTACTGTACCTTGTGCGTCTGTTTAGAAGACTTTCTACCCATTTTGAGCAATCTATCAACCTGTCATTTGTTTGCTCACACTCCGCTAGGAGGTAAAGCTCTTATAAAACATGTTCTCAGTTTACATATCTTTGGAGAGTTGATTCGTTTTACCATAATGCTTCCGATACACCTTCAATTACAGATTCATGGCTCGTAAGCAATCAATGGATTATTTTGTTATGATCCTCTTTTCTTCATACTTTACGGCTATCTGACTCCTTTCGTTCAGTGCTGCTTGATCATCACTTTTACTGCAAATCTTCCCTCCTAAATGTATTTTAGCCACACTCCAACCACTGCCCGCTTTGGTAAAATTGTGACTGCGGCAGGCAAGCAAGAAGAGCAATTTTGTTTCATTCAGTTTTAGTTTGTTTTATCCCAACATCTTTTCTTCTGCTATAGTTTCGTTTCATCTTATATGATTCAAGCCTACATAGATCGAAGTCTCTTTAGCATTCCGCTTCCATGTCATGATCGCAGCAATAACTGCCTTAACCATTTAGATGTGTTAATCGTGCACAACAATACAATTCTAGAAGAGCTCCCGGGCACGAGTGCTTAATAGACGCCATTTTTAAATCTTCCGGCTGCACTTAATGTTAACTGGTATGCCCGTAGATAACTGACGGTGTTTAATCTCTAATTGAAATCGGCAAGGGAAAGAACGCCTACTGTCAAAACTACTCGCCCTTTTCTTCATTTCATTCCTTGGAATGTTCTACCAATAACGACAGTAGTGAGGCCTCCATCATTCGAACGATCGACATTTAGGTTTTGACATTCTCCCCGCTGGTTTTTTAGCCTTATCTTTGCGCATCAGCCCGTTCTTATGTTTTCATTCGTGCTCGTCTGCTTGTGATTCCGAGTTTCTGCGCTTGCTTTCTGTTGGTTGCGGTGAAAAATTCATTGGTTTCAGCCTTTCGATTGGGCCCACTCCTCAACAACTGTATTTTCAAAGCTATATAGAGCAAGCATTCTACTTTACTTGCAAAATGACTGAGTTTTCGACAACTGATCAGCGTGCAGGTATGCATCTGAGCTTTACTCCTTACAAAACATTGGTTTCCATGCATTTCATTGGCCCACACGGTAGAGAGAAGTTTGCTAAAAATCAATAACTGCAATAAAAAATGAAATGGATACATTTCAGATTTTTGGAAAGTGAGACTGGTGCCCCAGAACACCGGTCAGGAAAAAGTGTACTTCTTTCCGTCTCTATTGGAAAGGTTGAAGGAGAGGCCGCAGTTCATACTCAACTCTGCACTCGCAGCGAGGGAAGCCGAGGTGAGACGTACTATTCATCATTACCATTCATTAAACAACACTGGTTTTGGTTGTTCAGTTCAGTTTAGCTCAAACTTGGCTGATGGCTTAGAGCGAGCGAGTAGTATGGGAAAATTTAGTTCTGAAAATTCGATTTGTGATTATATGGTGACTTGACAATAGTCTAAAAGATCTGACGCTTTACCAGTTTGATGGAGGATCAAACTTCAACAAGAATTCTACCTGGACACATAACTTTTAATCGAACCTGGTATCTATCTGTTCGATATAATATTCTTCATGCTATGTTTATATTATGTGTCCATTTCTCTAACCAGAATAACCCTCTTTTATTGAGTCAAGTAGTCTTCAACTAGTGTTTACTACTCAGCAGACGGAGACGTGACCTTCTGAAAAAAGTTTTAGCCCGGTTGTTTTTGTTAAACTTAATCTCATTTAGTCATCTATATAAGGTTTATGTTTAACACAGCACACTGCAAAAAAGCCAAAAATCTTTGTGAACGGTTCTTCGAAATTTTCACCGAGTAAACATCCTTCATATGTTTTTGCAACTTACTGCGAGTATGAGGGCCACGCCCTTACAGTTTATTTGCAGCTGTCTATATTGCTACCAGATAAACTGACTGAAGCCGCTCAGAAAGAATGCGCAAATCAAAATGTCAAGGGAGATCCACTAATTGCTTATATTGGTGGATATGTAGATAGCAGGCCTTCAGCACAAGACATAGGTGGGAACGCTACACTTCATCTACCTCACATTCTATATACAACGAAAACACAAAAGCCATTAGCTTTTCTACATGGGGACTTTTGTTTAAATTGCCCATTTTCAGTTAAACATTTGCAACGAAGCTATTTGGAAATCTATGAACGTAATGAGCATTGTCGTTCTCGAGAATTAGTATCTCTCATTGACACCTGTCTTATGCTGAACGTTGTAAGTTTGTGATTGATTCTAGTGGCTTCTAGTGGTTTATGAAATGTTCTCCTTATATAGACCACATTCGCTCAAAAGTTGTGTGAAGATAACAATTATGAGCATGATCTGCTCCAGCTACGTTGTTCCAAAGGTGAGGATATCTCTCTCTCCTCTTTTTCTTGTTGTTTGCGTCTGTTTTCAATTTATTTTTCAGGCGGTCCAGAAGTATGGGATGACTACAAAATGGGTGTAATGCTGCGATTGTCGCGTGGTGGCTCTCCAACTCCAGAGATGTTGGAAGCGGCTACTATTACCGTACTTATATGTGATTTTATGGCTGGTCCAACGGCGCGTCGCAAATCAGCAATAGCTGAAATGGCTGCTCATGGATTTAAATTGTAGGTGCCTTTTGACCCTTGCTTCTGTTCACGATAATGCATCCCGTTTGTGCAAAGCTGGTGATGAAGGCCTCCCCACTTTGAAAAGTGTCAGTCATTTAAATGCGAGTGCTTTAGAGACCGCAATAACAGTGGCGATGGCTGCAAATAATCGGGTCGGTATTTGTGTCCAATTGCAATTACTTCGCACCTTCCTCGCCTACCCTTCGCACCTTACTCGCCCAGCCAATCACTCGCCTGTGGGGTGACCTCCCTTAATTGGTTCGCTGGTGACATCTCTGGCAGTCTCAGTGTATTGACATTGATTTCGCGAATTGAAATCTTTATTATTATATTGTTAATAATAATAGTATTATTTTCATGTGAAACAATAGTATTATTATACGTTTTAAAATAATATGCGGTAAGGACACGACAATGTAAGAATTCAAAATCTTCATATAATATTGAAACTATGTGCATGTGTCTGGAATCCGGTATGTCAGTACGTCATGCTTTCCCATTTTGATTACCTGCCTTTCGCCAACATATGTTGGCACTTGGGTGTGTCCATTTGTAGTAGCCGTAGCTGCCTCTAGGGTCTCGGAAAAAGTAAGGTTTTGGTTCACAGAACTCACAGTGTTTTGCATGCGATGGCAAACACAGTACAGAGGTGATTTATGATGCTTTTATCCACATGTTTAAATACCTTCGAGTGACCTCCTGGCGATGTCCAAACAAAGCGATACAAGGTATTAAAAAGTGTGGAAGGCCACTTTGTTAACTAGTTTGCCTACAGGCGTCTTGTGAGAATGAATGCTGAATGTTTTCCCCTTTCCAATGATATTTTCAAGGTTGTTTTAGCCTCCACACCTTCTTTCGTTTTATTGTTTATGCGTTTCATATTTTTTGTTCTGCTTTATTTTATTTCTCATGCTTCAAATGTAACGTAGTTTCTCACTCACACAAGCGATATTGTCATACGTGAGCCTAGTTGTCTGACAGAGAGGTCGCCAGCCAACCAATTAAGGGAGGTAGCCCCACAGGCGAGTGAGTGGCTGGGCGAGGAAGGTGCGAAGTAATTACAATTGGACACAAATTGGCTCACCCCAAATAATCATATTGACGGAACATAGCTTTAGGCTCATGACAACCTTTTCTGAAAGGTTAATTGTGAGCACAATATGTTTAGTTTCAAGCATGTGATGGTCCTTTCAGTAATAATCATAATGAAGTCTTCGGTCTCTTTCGTACTTTCTCGGCGGTGCTTTGAAATGTAAGGGTAGATGCGCTGAGTGGGCATTTGCAAATGTTGTCGATTTAGTATAAAGAACACTCACAAATTTCCTTAGGAATATTCTGAAGTAGGTCATTGAGAAAAAAGGAAGAAATATTCCTTCTCACTAGGCAGTTAAACTAATGAACCGCGGTACTTCTCATGTTAATTTGCTCACAGCAGGTTTGCCCCTCCAGAAAACTGCACGTTAGCAAGTTGGTTTAAAGTTCATTTGTTGTAACAGAGTAAGCTAATAAGGTGTAACGAGTTGTCTTCGTTCGTAAACCTTCTTAGAGTTTCATTTTCGGAACCGCATATTTTTTCAGGGATGCAATGGTTTTGGCAAAACTATATTTTCCTAATAGCGAGCTCTTGGAGCAACTCTCCAACCAATGCTCCAATTTCTTTGAGGAATCTGTGAATTCCGAGGCAAGAGAAATTTCAGAGTAAGTGTTAATAAATAATAATAAAAAACGTCATCTTGTCGCAGTACCAGGTTAAATTTCGGACGAAATAAAATTACAAACGAATCGCGATTCATTTTGTGTTGGCAGGAATGTGCGGGTGTAACACACAAAATGGCCTTTTCTTAGATTACGAATTCGTGTTAGCTATCAGCTCAATTTTCTTTTTTATAGCTTGTTCGTTACTCTTCATATTAACAACATTGTATTGTAGATGTTTGTTTTTCTCTAAAATCTTCCATGCCAATGTGGTGCATTCTTCAATTCTCCAGGAAAAAAAATTCACACTTCGAAAAATTCCAAGAGAGTTTCACGCTCATTTCTACTGCTGTTGTTATTAGTATGCAACACCAGATTTTTCAAAATAAGGGAAGGAAAAAACCCGCATTTTTTACATTGTTTTCCGCTTCGAGCATCCACATTAGTTTAATTACGAAATGTCCAGCGGATTCTTGTACATAGACAACTGTCATTTATCTCTGTCAGAATTCTTCTTGAGTAGTAACGGAAGGGGAGTATTAGCTGTTAGTGTATCACATTACACATTTTACATTACGGAATAACATAAATCGGAGCTGGATAAGAGAACGTTATTCTGCTGAGCTGCCACTGTAAAATCGATGCCAGCGCTACGCTACGTAACTGCGCTTAACGTAGTTCTCTGACCCTTAAGGAAGCCAATGGTATTCAGCAAGTGAACCATAATCAACAGTGTAGCCACGATGTCGTAGACGCTTTAGATTTTCGGTCTTCATTTTTCTGCAATGAATGTGTAGTGAAATAGGAGAACGTCTAAAGTTTTTAGTTCCCTATCGTTTCATACTTGTGCCTCAATTTCGACTTGTTCATTGTGTGCGTTATTTTTTTTNTTTTTTTTGGCTATTGTGAAGCCTTTCAATATTTACAGAATAATTTCTTCAACATCTGAACCATTCTTCCAACGGCACCTGCTTCATATTTTGGACCAGGTAAATGTGTGCCAAAAGTTCTTCATAATTTTAGGAAACTGAAAGGCTTGGGCTCGTGTATCGTTCTACAGCTGGCTCCCTTGTGTAGAATTTATTTTCCCTAGATGTTTTTTTGAAGATGCCAGCAACCAAAGCGGTGAAAGTGTAGTTGTTATACTAGCACGGGATCAGAGACGAAGCGCAGGCCCCTGTGCGCTTGAATGCGATTTAAGCTGTGGCAATGTAGTTAGGGAACATATATACTAGCACTGTTATGTGTGCCTTCCGCCCAACTACAGTGCGCGGTACCTAGATCGCCCAGTCGGTTCACCACGCTTGTCACAAAATGGTTCATTACGGTACAGAGCTTAATGAGGAGATCTAATCATTGTGAGCTCTTTTGGAATTTGCTAAGACTCGTCTAATTGAGTAGCTCCGATCATCTAGGGCCTGCTCAAGCAGTTTCGTCTCAACAGAGGTCCCCTTACGTTGTTTGGCAGGGTGTTCTTTGTGTGGTGAAAACGTCATGCTCTTGCACTGTCGTTTCAGTACATGAAAGAATGTGTAGAGTTTATTATCGGTGAAATTGAATTCAGTGACTGAATGAGAAGTACTCTAGAAACTGCTACTAGCGCAAAGCTCTCACGAGTAGTGCTTGTAGTAGAAAGATCATACCAAATTACTATGCGTGATCCTTGTCGAATTTCAATATCGTTTCAGTTGAGCTGTTATCGAATTCTGAGGATTGATTTTGCTCTCAATGAGAAGGCTCCTCTACAGAAAAAGCTGGTCCGTCAGCTTTTTTAAACGTAGATTTCAATTGTACTGATTTCCTTTTCTAGGTTGGTCGCTTGGAAATCGCGAAAAGTGTTCGTTACTTAATTGCGTACGCCCTTGCTGATCGTAACTACGAAGCTGTTACTCTGATTGTCGAAGATGCCGTTGATCACTTGGATAAGTATTCGTACTTCTCTGAGTTGGAGCAAATTGTCTATCCGGTGATTGCGTGTTTTCATGCTTAAAGTTCTCTGATTTTTTTATTGCTCTGCTCACACCGCTTAAGTTTATTCAAATGCATCTTTATTACCTTAGATGGCAATTGGCATGCTTTCGGAAGCTGTTCGTATGATCTTCCATGCTAAGCCAGCAACTGTCGGTTGGAAAAAGCAGAAGGATGAAGGGGACAAGTTGGGGTGTGCGTTACAACAACATCCGAACGGTATGATCTGCTGAACTTGCTTATTTGGCATGATCCAACCAAGAAAGTTATTAAACGCAGTTACGCCATTATGACGCTTTTTCCATTTTGTTCACTGTGAAACAGGTTTATGGCGAGTTCCGTTAGTTCGGCTTGTAAAATGAGCTTTATAAAACACAGAATTCTCCCGCGGTCATTTAAGAGGCTTTGTTTAAAGGCGTTGTCAACAGCCGGGCGGGATTCCTAGCAAGCCAAAGCAATTGAACTGACAATAGTATGTACAAACAAAAGAAGGGGAACAAAACATAAAATTATCATTTCCGCAAAAACATCTTGTGTTACAATGACGTGGACATACAAATGCTGTATCTCTCTATATATAATCCACAAGTTTGGTGTGTCTGTATGTATGTATGTATGTATGTATGTATGTATGTATGTATCTATGTGTGTATGCATGTATGTATGTGTGTCGCACCATCCGGTTTTACATGAAAAAACACCTTCAGAGGTCGGGACAAGTTCGGGATGGGTGGAGCCCAGGACAAAATTAATAGAGCACATACGAGCTCTGCGGAGCTCCGTCCACAGGGGGCGGGGCATGTGCCGGAATGGGCGGTGCCAACAGTCAAACATCTTATTTTTGCTTTGAAAAAGTCCAGACACCCGGGAAAAAATGTTCAATGGTGAGGATTGGGTCAACAAATCAGATGGAGGGGAACCACGTGCTGTGGGCGGAGCTTTCTCAAAATGGGCGGTACTCTTCAAGTGTATTCATAACTCGATTCAATTGAGGCGCAGAGGCCAGGAAAAAAAAGTGGAAAGAGTGAGAAAGGCCTCATGCGTGCTGGGCATGCGTAAGCTCAGCAAAGTCCCGCACACAGTGGGCGGGGCGTGCATTAAGGTGAAACCTACTTCTCATAAATGAGTGTAACTTCGTTCGGAAAAGTTCTAGAATGCGGGAAAAAAGTGGTAAGAGGTAATGGAACAAATGACGTCAAATCCCAGAAGTGGGCGTGGTTGGCACCAGTGTGGGCGGGGCTTAGATCAAAAATTTACAACTCTGTCCGGAAACGTTCTGGGATGCGGCAAAAAGGTGTCAAGGTGTAAAAAAGCAAATGTGGTCGGATTCCACAACTGGTAAACTGGGCGGGATTGGCACTGAAGCGGGCGGGGCTTACATCGAAGTTATTATCAAGGTGTAAAAAAGCAAATGTGGTCGGATTCCACAACTGGTAAACTGGGCGGGATTGGCACTGAAGCGGGCGGGGCTTACATCGAAGTTATTAAATCTCCTCAGATGTGTTTTAGAAAAAAATACGTCTGGAGGTTCGAAGTCTGAAGTGGGTGGCGTTTGCAAAGAGGGGGCGTGGCTGAGAGCAAAAGTTTATACATCTGACCTTCACACTAACCCTGACCACATAGGTGTGCAACTAGGGGATACCACTAAACTTTTTCAAAACTTAGGCTATAATTTTTTAATATTTGGTATCTAGGGTTCCACACACAGTAGTCCCTTATTCGCAAGAGCAAACGCGCTACATTGACTTCAGTCCTCATAAAATAAATTCTACAATAGCCCGGCCACACAAGTGCGTACACTGTAGAGACGTGTAAATCCCTACAACTACCCGAAGGGGCTGTTCTTTCAAGGTTAGTGTTCATGGCCACACACAGCCCAAACTACACTGGGTTTCTTCGACTACATGGACTGCATAGGTATTTGATTTGGATACATCGGAGTACTCCTCATGGCCATATACAGTACAGCCCCATTTCACATCCCAAAAAAATGATGGTGTTAGGGAAGAGGCTTAGATGATAAAGGTTCATAACGAAAATCAGAAGCTTATGTTGCTCTGTCCCGTATGGCTAGAGCCCCCAGCGCACGCAATAGTGTGCGTAGCCGCCTGGTTGCCAAATATTTTGATTCATTTTCTATCTGTAGATAGACCAGTTAGCTCTAAGGTAAATCTTTCCATTTAGGGTATATCGGAGGGTTGGTTGAAATGTGGATAAAGCGTGATCCACTACTCGAAATTTCACGAACTAGCGATATATATCGTCAACACAGCCTACACACTACTGTTGAGGGCATCGCTTCAGTACTTCGCGACGATGAACTGCTCAATCCTATTTGCAGAGTATACCTCTTTGAAACGCTAAGTTTACCTCTCCACTTTTTTTATTAGCAACGAATGTCTTAGGGAATGTTACTGTTTGCCTGTGACCTTGTTTGTACCCTTTTGGATGCTATCTTCGGTGGCAGCTGTCTACAGATTTCTGAACTTATGAAAGCAAACTCTTGTCTGGAACATCACACAGGAGTCATGCTCGTACGTAGACTCACAAAAGGTGAGTTTTTAGAAGAGTTGTTCTTTTTGGAAGGCTTCTTGTGCGTGACTCAGGTCTTTTCAACCGTTATAAGTTTCTCTTTTGATTTCAAATAGAAACTGGCTCTAAACGTTGAACTGCTGTTTTTTCTTCCTCCATCGTTTTTCTTTTCTCTTTTGATTAAATCTTTTCTATTGTAATCAGTATACGTGTACGTATGTGCCTGTGTGTGGATGTTGTTGTTATCATGTGGGTAAAGTTTTGGGTTTTTAGGGGTGCTTTCGCCTAGCACCGATGACCGCTTGCGGACCTTATTAGAGCGATTGTGCGATTTTTCTACAACGGAGATGCTAGCCTCTAAAGACGGTGCAACTCACTTTGTTTCTTTTTTTTTTTTTTTTTTTTTTTGAGGTTTTTTTAAACGTTCTTATTTTAGCTGCTCTTGATACTCGAACGGACCTTGTCGGTACAAGCTTGGGAAATAAAAAAGTTGGTTATTGTGCTTTACAAGAGAGAAAATGAATTATAGAATTCGAATAATAGTGCTGCTCAATAGTCTTTCAAGTGCAATGCATTCCAGGCTACCTACTCATCCGGTGTTCCTGATAGTATCGAAAAACATCAGAAAACCGACGAGAATTCGTTGCTGGTTGATCGTTGCGGAGGTGCGTAGTAAGTAATGGGTCACATGGACTTTAAACTGGTCGATTTTTTATAAAACCGAATTGAAACTTTCATAAATTTTCTCACCCATCTACAGGTGCCAAATCGGTCAAACGCAAGGCTGAAGAAGCGTTCGATGACAGCTGCCGCCAGGTGTAAGTAAATGCAGTTCAGCTTTTTAAGTCATATGTGTAGTCGTCAACACGACGTAGTACATTGTTTTTCTGCTGACCAGCGAGTTTAGAGTTTGCTCAAATATATTTGCTACATGTTGGGCCCTGCCCAACTTGTGAGTTCCCAGCAATCCTTCTCATGTGTACTCAATTGCGCATTATTTTTCAGAGGGACATTGTGGTGAACATTTAATCATCACCATTACATTCATTCACAAGTTGGTCAAATTTTGTTTCATGAGATTTCCAGACTCTAAACAGTAGGTACCAACAGGCAGGCATGTCATTGGGTATTACTGTAGAAGATGAGCATGGTTCGAAGCAAAGAGAAAACTATTCAAGTTTATAAAGTTGAAGGTAGCAATTACAATCAATCATGCATTTATACAAATGTGAATAAGTTTGATAGACCTGGTATACCGCGCGGTTCAGTTACTGGTTAGACATTCATTTTTGAGGTTTCTAATACTCATCGGTATTCAACGTTATCTCCTTACCTGCTTGGAAAATCAATTGTGTGAAGTTGAGTCTAGAAGTGAACCATGTAATAGTGGAACGCTATGTTTTTCAGTCTGAGGAGCCCCTTCACTCAAGAAGAAATCGTCTCCTCAGCACCGGTTCCTGAAGAAGCGGCCGCTACTGCAGCCAGCGAGCAAAACTCGGACATGAACGGTTTGTTTCTCCTTGGAAATTCTGAGAGAAACGTCTGAATTTAGTGGGTGGTGTTACCAAGTTCTGAATAACTAGTAAATTGAGATTTATGCAGTTTCCATTGTTTAGTAGTGAAGTTCGTGCGTCATATGAGCCTCAGTGTATGTGCCTACTACATCCTTCTATATATAATTCGCTAAATGTGTCCGTTGTACTGTCGGTGTGTGTGTTTGACCGGAAGTCATAACTCTTGTCTCTCTGGACCGAGAGCGTTCAAACGTCGAAGGGATACCGGCGGCAGGATAGGAACACTGTCAGGTGACGGGAAGTGATAACAGTTGATAGGATCACATGAGGAGCCTTAGAAATCGAGAGCCGCAGGATTAGTTACCTTTTTGTGTAACCGTTGACCCTTGCCACTCCAGGAGGGGGTGTGGGTTGAGAAGGAACCGCAGATGTTATTTCAACAGGAAATGATAGCAACTGTTAGAGTTACTGTTAGGGATAACGAGTCATAGAAGGCGAGCTCTATAATGTCTTTCGTATTACCAGTGGAGGTTTAGCACTTTAGCGATTAATGAGGGATGTGAAGGAACCGCAGGTTATTGATGACAACGACTGATAACAAGCTATAAGGGCTGGCTATAGAGTGCTAGAGCCACTAGGTCTGTAACGCTTTTCGTGTAACAGTAACAGTGAAACCGGGCATTTTGATACGTGATGTAGGATGTGACACAGGTTCGTTGTTACTCTGTGACAGGAACTGATAACAGCTGATAAGAGTTGATAAGGGACCTTAGACAACAGGAGCAGCTTAGCATCAGATGCTAACACCTTTGGTATTTACGACCTAACTTTGACTCCTCGTTGTATTTCATTGGCTAAGACGGCAAGTGCAGCGATAACCGATTAAAAGCACTACATTATAAGGAGATGAAAATTCGGTTTACTTCTTGCTAATCGACTAAGGCCGCTACCCAGCGGGGTTTATGACTCGTTATAATGAAGGATATCGGTTTCCTTATGTTTCGATATCATTTGCGACAGAACTCACACGACTGCCAGTAACCTGGGATTCTTAAGTAATAATATATCCGTCGCTGCTGTAGAGAAGAGAAGTTACATTGAAATCACCTATAATGCTGTTATTATCACTCGACAAAATTTGTGAATGCCATTTATCTCTTCACTGGTTTTCTAACAAAGAAGTCTTTCATGGGTGGTATTTTTAAGGCAGAGGTGGTAAACGTGGCCTGCACCGATGTGGCCGGTTTTGAAAACTGAAATAATAACTTTGTTAAAAAGGTTCTAGTGATCACCGTCACTCGCTCTCTAGGAATTCTGTTTAAGGAAAGGGAGGAGTAGGGGTGAATAAATGAAATAAAGGAGGAGCACACTGCACTAGCGTAATATCCTTAGTGAGTGTGTTCGTTTTATATGTTGCCTCTAATAGGATGATTTTTCTTCATGAATTCACCTCATTTTATCAAATCCTATAACCCAAGTTTCTTGAGGACTCAGTTCAGATCACTGTTTCAAATTTGTTGGAGCTTATTTGTTGTGGTGCATGCCTTAGTTAGCTTTGCCAAACTGGTTTTATAGAACGCGCCAAGTGTTTCTTTTGGTTCGATGGTATATTTGTAATTGACAGATCATCTAATCTCTGTTCTGTGGCTGTGATTTAGACCGCTCTTCTGTTGCACCTTCTCGTTCAGTCTGCGAACAAGTGGCAACTATGATGGAAGGGGTTAAATTTTCACGTGAACGTGCACAAGGAAAGAACAGTGGGTCTATGCGTATTTCATATCTCGCTCATAATTGTATAACTGAAAGTTTAAAGTTACCCTGAACCAAAGTATATTTGTTTGTCAAATTCGTTCGACATGTTTGACACATTGATTCCAGATAAAGTGTAAGGGTTAACATACGTTAACTATTTTAGAAAATCCTAATCACTCGCATACAATGGCTGTGAAAGCGAAATCGGAGACTGATAGGCCAGTGAAGGTTGAGCATTCAGTTGTTTGCCTCGGTGTTATTGCTGTTACTATTTGCGTGAACACGATGAATTGGTTTAGGTGGAACGCATCTCACCTCGGTCTGGTGCGCAGAGCTCGGTAGCTAGAAGTAGTCCAGGTGATTTTCATGACGAAGGCATAGCACGAAAGAAAATTGATGATGTCGGTCATGTCGGGAGTGCTTGTCAGGAGGATTCACTAGAAGTCAAAGGTCCGTCTTTATAGGTTTTCTCTCAACACGTTGACGACAATGTCGCGCAATGGTGCGCGACAGCCAATCTGTCTCATGGGACGATGTCGCGCAATGCTGCGCGACGGTGCATTCAATCAAAATTTGTGTGCCCGCTCCTTTTTCGCGCAGATTTTCAATTTAGGCTTATAAGTGTCTAAAACATGCATATGTCCTCTGCTCCTTTGTCGTAGTAATAATCTGAGACCACAGTGCGATAATCATCAGTGTCAGGAATAGCTGCGGGAGCCATATCGTCGCCATACAAACCACCTGAAGCTTCGTCGCTGTCGAGCAGCCAGTTGAAACCTTCCGTTGAAGTCCTTCATTTCGATATCCGTGATACTCATGATGACACGAATTCGCAAAGATAATACTATTCTCGGAGATTCTATTTCTATTCCCCTAATCCAAATTTATCACCGCTAAATTTGAAAATACCTTGAGTAGCCACAAATGTTGCGGTGATAAATAATGTTGGATGGTTTGCGGAATATTCTCTCGTACTGATGGTTTTCAAATGTTTTTGAGCGTATTCACTCATTATTCTGAGAAATAACAAGTATCCAAGAAAGAATCTGCCTCGTCCCACGGGACAGACACGAAAAATTTGGCTCGTCGTCAACGTGTTAAAACGTTAGCTCAAAGCGCTTTTTTTTTGATCGTCGTTCACTAAAACTGTAAGCCTCATGTTTCTAAACTCAAGGTTGGAATACCCGCTGATTTACGTCAACCTTTGTATCACTTTTCATTTATAGAAACCAGATGTGGCCCGGGAAGGAACAACGTACAGGTTCGTTTGCTCTCTAGTTTACTGGGATTCTTTGAATTGCGTCGGATAGTTTCATTTTTTTTCGTGTAGTTTTCAACACTATTTTATTTTTTCGTGATATGGCGATAATAAAGCCAAAGATGTGTTTTAGGTTCGCTTTTCAATTTGCAGAGCGGTTCAGTGAAACTAATATTATTTTACGATTATTGACTTCCCAATGGGTATAAGATCTACCAATCAGGAAACAGAGCGGAAAGATTGGTGAAAGCCATGAACGTCATTTCCCTTGCAATGTAGGCAGCTGTTCTATACTTACAATGTTGGGAGCAATGGTATTCTTTGAAAATCATCATGCCAAAGTACTCCAGTTGATGTTTATGACTACTGTTAGCAAAACGTACACAGGCGAACTCAATCATAGTCAAGCTACAAGAAATATTCATTCGTGTTTGATTCTTGAGTTGCGCGACTCAAATTTCGCTTTCGATATTTTAGAGATCTGAATCAGGTTATAATGGAATCTGATTGCTGATTGAAGATCTGACTGTAGTAGATTGCTGCGATGTGTGGAAATTGCGGAATTCAGAGAGTACTAAACCCTTTTGCTTTTTTTTTTCCGATGCCATACCAGGCAGGTCCTGTTCTTTGAGCATGGTTGCCTAACAATCCGTACACGTCTTTCTGATTCCTTTTGAGCTTCTCTGACACTTGTCGCATGGAGTGAAACTCATTTAAGTTTGAGCCACAATCAACCTTCAGCAGAGTTTTAACCCCTTCTAGTTTGAACTCACTTATTTAGCCTGATATTCTTCACTATATCTCTCAGTGAGACTGTGTGAATTCGCACATTCCAAGCTTTTTGCTGGCGTCAATCGATTTGGGCTGCTCTTGTCTCTAGCCAACATGTTACAATCCTTTTGTTGCTTCCAGTTTTCGTTTCCAAATAACGCACCTCGCGGAACTTATTGGAGCAAATGCGTATCAGGTTGGTCGCACGCATGAAAATGATCATGTCTGAAGTGGCGAAAAACCAGCTATTGCTAATCTACCGGTCCGTGGTCTACGTGGCAAGTGAGAGTTCATAGATAACACACCTTCCGAATAAAGAGTGTATCGGTGTAGATATTGGCAGATGGAACCGTATCCCCGTGTTATTGAGAACAAGCTCCTTCTATTTATACCAGTTTGTCTATGCACACTAACGCGTGCAGTATATGTCGGCGGCCACTTATCCACGATGGAGTCATTCAGCGGAATTTTAGATGATCAGAAGAAGATAGTTCTCTCTAGATTCGAACGCTGATCTGCTGAGAGCATCACGCTCGATATACATATTTGAGCAGAGTTATTAGTGGTTGATCATAGCTCCGTCCACCCTAGTGCAAACCCTAACAACTATAAACTTGACCACCCTTCTTTTTTACTGCTCCTAACCATTTTTTCCGCATTCTAGAAAGTTACTGGAGGGATGAAATTTGGTCCCAGTCCCGCTTTTCTGTGCCAGCACTGCCCACTTCAGGGATTTGACCACATTTGTTCCATTACCTCTTCCCACTTTTTCCTCGCGTCCTAGAACGTTTCTGAACAGAGTTATGGAATTTTGATCTAAGCCCCGCCCACTTTCGTGCCAACCCCGCCCACTTCGAGAATTTGGCCACATTTGTCCCATTACCTCTAATTACTTTTTTCTCGCCTTCTAGAACGTTTCTGAACAGAGTTATGAACTTTCGATCTAAGCCCCGCCCACTTTGGTGCCAACCTCGCCCACTTCGAGAATTTGGCCATATTTGTCCCATTACCTCTAATTACTTTTTTCTCGCCTTCTAGAACGTTTCTGAACAGAGTTATGAACTTTTGATCTAAGCCCCGCCCACTTTGGTGCCAACCTCGCCCACTTCGAGAATTTGGCCACATTTGTCCCATTACCTCTAATTACTTTTTTCTCGCCTTCTAGAACGTTCCTGAACAGAGTTATGAATTTTTGATCTAAGCCCCGCCCACTTTGGTGCCAACCTCGCCCACTTCGAGAATTTGGCCATATTTGTTCCATTACCTCTAATCACTTTATTCTCGCCCTTCTAGAACGTTTCCGAACGAAGTCACACCCATTTTTAAAAAGTAGCCTTCACCTTAACGCATGCCCACTGCGAGAACGCTCCGCCCACCGCCAGTAAGTTTCCTTTATTTTAGTTGCTGAACCATCCCTCACCTTTGCTTATTTTTCCCGGCGTCTGGACTGTTGTGAGAGCGAATTAGAAGAATTTGCTCATGGCCCCGACCAGTTCCGGCGCATGCTCCGCTCCTTAGGGGCGGAGCTCCGCTAGGCTCACATGTGCTCTGTTGCACTTACCCTTGCTCAACTCATTTCAAACTTGACCCGACTTCTCCAGGTGTTTCTTCAGGTTATATCGAATTTCGTGACAGACAGACAGACAGACAGACAGTCAGACAGACGCGAGCGCTTTATATATTGTAAGGATTTTTGGTTAATTAGCAGCGTGTGGAGTAATTTCCCTTCGGTTTAGATTGCTGTGATTGAAACTGCTCTGTGCTGAATGTACAGTCTCATGAGAATGTACAGTCTTGAGAGAACGGAAATAGCTCTAGCAAACGATTGTATTGGGTTTGTTCCATAATTTCTCGCCCATGATTTTACATGTAATCGAATGTCTGTGGCGCTTCTAGTGAATAGCAAGAGCTTTACTGCTTCTTTTAACAGGAGCCAAGCTGGGTTTCTTGTTCGGTTTTATTTCTGCCATTTTCAGACCTTTAAAATGGAATAACGCCGCTCATGATACGCATGCCAAGATTCTAATTTTTGTCAACAATCGTGCGCTCATTCATTTGGGTTCGGTGTTCAACTGTTGAATGAAGTCATCAGCTAACTTGGAGTGAACATTCCAGGCTATCGCTCTATTTTAGAGAGGGCTTCTTAGGCGGAAGTTTATAGCAATTTGAAGGCATAGTCCACGATTATTTTGGTTAATCCAGATTATGGCGAAAAATGGAAGGTACGATGGAAAGTAGTGTGGTGTAGGCCAAGAAACTGCGTGAATCGGTATTTCCAAAGTGAAGTAAAGCTTCGAAAAATCGATAAAAAGACGAGACGAGCGTGGGACCAAAAAAAAAATGAAGAATAATGGGCGTTCGGACGAGCTATACAATGTGTGCCATTGCGTACGTGTGGAGCCTAGTACTAATAGCTGACTACGGTGAGCGAAATTCATTCACTCATAGGTATATGTTAATAATAAAACCCTGGTGACAGCAAAAAAAGCCAACCCTTTTCAGCCTCTTGAGGAAATAAGAGGGAGTGAAGGAACAGCAGGTAAACAGCGCCTCATTACTCGGCGATCAGCTAATGTGTGTGGGTCCTGGAGCGAATATTGCAAACTGTACCGCCTCTATAGGTCGCCTGACGTGACATCACTCAAGGGGTGGGAAGTTTGGGCGATCTGGTAACGAGGCTCTCACTGTGCCCTAGCTGTTAAATTTTGGGACTCGGCAGCGTCCTTTCTATTATCTTGAAAGCTACTGGGTTTTCCTAGGGAAGAACTCACAAACCATTTTTATCGTGAACTGTGCCTTCAACCGTTTTCCTTGAACTCAATTGGATGACCGGAATGGATGGCTTTTTCAATCAAATCGTCCATTTTGAGGCATGACCTTCCTATCTCGAACTTCGAAATTAAAAGCACAGTTATTGAGCTGCTTTTGCAACTCCGAAACTGTGGTTAAATTAGTCCCTTTCCAATGATCTGAGATGTTATGAAATAAATCGGACCAAAACAAATCAGAATCCGGTAGAATAAATCATTCTTCTTCGAATGACACGAAAAAATGTATAATCGAAAACAGTCAGTGATGTGTGGAATATGTAGATTTAAAAAGGCGCGAGCTCATTTGCAAACCCTGGGGCTGAGTCGGGGATGAGATTGAGTCGGACTATTTATTGCCCTTCTAAACAATTGAGAAATCAAGAAAAACGAAAGTAAGTGAACAAAAGGAATTCAGCCAGGGGAAACAATCGAACTGGAACACTATTGTTCTAGTCGAAACCGATCTACAGTATGTTCTGAAATTATCCTACTATATATAACGCGCTAAGTGTGTCTGTTGGTTTGTCTGTGTGTATGTGTGTGTTTGACCGGAAATTCATAACTCCGGTTCTAGTAGACCTAGTTCAAATTTGGTAGGAATGCAGGCGCCAGGATGTGAACACCA